AATCATTGCCCCTGCCTAAATGCACTATATAACCCATAAAAAATCACGAATAATTGTCTATCTTAAAAAAGAAAGTGGGTCAAAAACATTCATATCAATTCTTTTAAAATAACCCACAATATATTGTCGATTATATCTTTCATATTAATAGAACTATCCCAAAAATGTATAAAAAAAATTTCCCAAAACAATATCACATATACAATACATCGGGAAAAAAAATACTAATGAAATCTAATAACATTTATAATTTTTAAGTAATGTAAAATCTTACTCATTTATAAGGCGTATGAATTTATCACCATTCAACCAAATAACACAATATAATTATAAATTCAATTACTTATTATTTTTTTATTGCTATTAGCTTGGGCTTTGAATTTTTTTTTTTTTGTTTTTTTAATGCAATTGATATCACTTATTATTATTTTTTATTGGTGATTAACTTGACTTTGATTTTTTTTTTATGGTGCAACTTGACTTTGCATGTCTACAATTGGAAATTTTTTTTTTTAGCATTCAAATTTTTTTTCTTCCTATAAAATTACTCAAATATTTAACTTTGTCATTTTTTTTATTAGTGATTAGCTTTAGTTGAATGTCTACGACTTGGAAAAAAAATTTATAGTTGGTTTTGAATATTATTTTTTGGTGCAATTGGTTTCATTTATTTATTTTTATTGGCAATTAGCTTGGTTTTGAATTTTTTTTTTTTGTGCAATTGGTATCACTTATTATTTTTTTATTGGTGATTAGTTTGGTTTTGAATTTTTGGATTTTTGTGATTAGTTTGGTTTTGAATGTCTATAAATTTTTTTTAACATTTAAATATTTTTTCTTCTATAAAATCATACAAATGTATGACTAAAAAGTACTAAAAATAACAATAGCCTATTTCACACTTAACATTTAACAATAATAAAATCATGTCAAAACTGTAAATTTTGAATAAAAAAGTACTGAAAATAACAATAAACATTTAACACATAACATTCACTCACAAAAAAATGGTGATGGTGATTAGATTAATATAAATCATATTTAAATCCAAAATTTAATACAAAATTTAAATTCAAAAAAATTAAATGCCAATCGATTGATATTCCTGAACTAAATTCAAATGAGAGACTGGGGAATAAAAATTTCTGTAAAATAAAATTTTCTTAAATATGAGGCCTATAAAACTATTTTTGTCCTTTGAGTTCCCTCTTTCTCAGACTGTTGCCGTCTCCCCTCTGTCTCTGGCTTGCCACCATGGATGTTCTTTGTTCCACCGCTCTCTGGGATCAATATTGAACAATCTCAATACTCATAAAGCCATGTGTCCTATTGGATCATTTCATAATCTCCAATTCTCCGAGGATTATTTCACACCATGGAAATGTCAATCCCTAGTCTATGATCACTGGTTACTCCTTTTCTCTCTCTCTCTCTCTCTCTCCAGAATATAAATGCATATGAATATCTATATATTTGCATGTATACACAGATTGGGGCCATTTGAAGCTTTTCTTCCGGTGAGGGAAGAATAGGATGTGGGTCTAGCCAATTTTTATAGAAAGGTATAATTTGCATTCATAATAAGTTTATTGTCTCTATTTTTGGTCTACTTATTTACTCTCACACATATATACCCCTCTCTCGCAGGGTTTTAATAATCGAAATGGGAGAGCAATCCACCAAGAGGCAGTTCTGTGAGAAGGCGAAGATGCTGTTCCAAAACCAAATTCAGAAATACTTAATAAAAATAACAGACTGCATTGTACAAAATCGAGTTGCTGTCAGATATCGGCAAACTGCTTCGATAATACAAAGTTCACAAAGTTCGATTAAGCACAATTCACAGGAGGCAGAAAATGAACACACAGGCACAACACACACAAAAAACCCATAACACAGAGAAAGAGCGAGCGATATAGAGAGAGAGGGAGAAAATTTAAGAAAGCCAGAACACAAAGACACAATAAACTCAGAATACACACTCACACAAAAAATCCAGAATACCTGGACTCCTGGTGTTGCTTGTTGCAGTGGGTGTTATTCCGGTGTACTGTGTGTTGTAGGGGCAAGGTAGAGACAGAGAGGAATGGGAGAGAGAGGGGGATCGTGAGATAGTTAGACTTGTCGGAGGTTTGTGGGTGAGTTAGCAATTAAGATAAGGGATTAGATAAGTTATTTGTTTTTAAAAATGAGAGAGAGTCAGAGGAGGAGTCTCGATAGATAAGATTAGATAGGTTATTTATTTTTAAAAATGAGAAAGAGTTAGAAGAGGAGTCTGGTCAGATAGGATTAGATAGGTTATTTGTTTTTAAAAATGAGAAAGAGTTAGAGGAGGAGTTTCGGCAGATAAGATTTTTTTTTAAAATGGCTATGATGAAGACCATTAGATTAAAAATTATGAAGTATTCTGAGTCGCGAAAAATTCAGGACAAATATTCATAACTACTTTATTATATATATGATATGGGAAGGAACTTGTGCAATGCAATAACAAATGGCAGTGTTATTTATTTGTGTGTGTCTGTGTGTTTTTTTTCGAGAACAAATCAAGGAATGGCATTAAAAAAAACCCAAGACGGCATTGAAGAGCCGTTTCAAACTTGAATTGGTTCTCAGTCGTTTTCATTGATGTGTTACCCCTGTACTGATCTTTAAGACTCTTATTGTTTGCTGGTTCTGCAGGAGCGTTTGTCCCTTCATGAAATGCAGCGGTCGGTGAGATTTCTTTTAATATATATTTTTATTTAATTTCTTTCTTAACATATTATCTATATCATGTATTTAAATGAGATTTATTGTATACAAGTAAATTTTTTACTGATTAAAGATGGATGATCTGACAAGAAAGAAATTGAGGGAAAAAAGTGTATGAGAAGAGGATTTGAATCCGATTTACAGAGGTAGCCCTCTGCTCTGCTCTGCCTTTTATTTTTTATTTTTTTCTTTTGGTAACCGGTGGTCCATTGAATTGAAAAGTCATATACTTTCTGGGTTCCTACTTTTAAATCTTCTGAGCCCTTTTACGAGAATGAGATGTCAATTTTATTTTCAACAACGCTACTCTCGAATCTGTAAGTGGGTCAAAGCTGAACATCTCTGGTAACTAAAGCACACAAAAATTTTGAAATTTAATTATTTTTTATCATAAAATTTTACTCCAACAAAATATTATAAATAATATTTTGGTACGTGACAATCATTATTTAGAGTGTTATTACAGTACCACGTATAAGCACTTTATAATATTTTTTTTCTCTTTCTTCTTTTCCTTTTTCTTCATTCTCTCTCTTCCCTTTCACTTCTTCAAAAAAAAAAATAATACAAAAAGAATAAGAAATAATATTTCAAAGAAATAATTAAAAATATTAAAAATTTGTTAGAGTGTATATTAAAATAGTAAATAGTTACAATAAAAAATATATCTTTTAGAAAAATTAAACTAACTTTTCTTATCGGAGATGTTCTAAGATAAGCTAGCAGAGTAAGGTAGTAGTATTATTTAAAGCAGATGGCGATGGTCCTGGCCCTTTTTTCCAAATTTAGTGATGATACTGTAAAATTGATGTAAAGACAAATGCCAAAAAAGCCAAAGTGGCTGAGAAAATAAATAATCTATGTATGATACAAATTTAGAAATTTGTGTAATTAAATGCTTTCTAATCGAAAATATAAGAATGTAAGGTGTTTAATGTTAAACTATAGTGATAGTGTGACTTATTATGCACTTTTTCAAGCATAAATCTTAAACCTTATGCTCTTAAAACTCTTAAATCCTATTATTTTTTTTTTTTTTGGGTTTAACGGTCAAAGATATCTATATTACCTTATGCACATTTTGACTAATCTATTTTCCGATCGAATCAAAATGACTATTGATTTGTTGTTAGTAGATTGAATTTTTAGTTCATTAGTTTTGTTTTGAGTTATAATCGTGCTAATATATTGTATTAAAAGAAAGGAAAAACGACAAATTTTAGTAAGAAAATACATTTGTCTTCTACGATAAAAGCACATGTTTTGCTGGGTCTATGTGTGAATACAATTAATAACAAAATTCACTCAAGTAGATTTCACTTTCATTTTGCAATTTTCATGCTATACTATACTACCTAATTTTTCCCGACACTGTCTATTGTTAGAAACTTGGTCAAGGTCTAAGGTTGTCACCTTGTAACTCTAGTAAGTCGCTCTAGTTAAAAACTAACCACAGTTAAAAACACTTGATCAAACTAGTTTTATTTTTAATTTATTGTTTAACTTTGTTACTTTTATTTGTGTACTTCTCAAAAGTAACAGGAGATGAGTCAACACCCATCGCAGAAGACTTTTGCAAAACTCTCTTTGTTTCTCTCTCCTGAATTCTCTGTTCCTCTCTCTAGTATTTCGTGCCGCCGACTTATGAGACCTTCGTTCCTCTGATCTCTGGTGTGTGAATCGGTTTGCCACACTTTGACAATTTTCGACGAGTTATCGGAACTTTCGGAGACTTGTCTTTCAAGCTACAGTTGAATAACAGAGGAGCTAGCTAGATTTCAGGGACAAGAAATGTCCGGAAGCTCGGAAATTTAAGCAAAATCTCTTGCTCTTTGTCGGTTTTCATTTCTATAGAGTAAATTTCCACTCTATCTCCTCCGATTCCGGTGACTGTAGTTCTGGGTTCATCGTTTTACTGTGCTTAGAGCTGTCTCTGAATCGAGAATTTTGTTGGGTATTTGTCAGAATTTGATCATTGCTGGTAGGTGGACACAAAAAAGGCAAGATTGACTGGTGGATAGAGAAAGAGGGCTTGAATCGAAACCCTAAGAGCCAAAACTTTGAAGATAAATGACCTAGGTTTATCCTTCTTCACCACCCAAAAATTCACTAGAACTGCTTTGTTGAACATGCTGGCCGACTTTGATAAGTCATCCGCCATGAATGATTCCACAGTTTCCGGCGAAGCTAGTGTCTCTTCTTCCGGTAATCAAACCTTACCTCCAATACAAACCACCAAGAGGAAACGAAACCTCCCCGGAATGCCAGGTAAAATCATACCCTATTCAATGGTTTTGTTTGTTACATTTGAATGAAACGAAAATTGTATAATTTTTTTCATTTTGATTATAGATCCAGATGCGGAGGTGATTGCTTTGTCCCCAAAGACTCTCATGGCCACGAATCGATTTGTATGCGAAATTTGCAATAAAGGGTTTCAACGAGACCAGAATCTACAGCTCCATCGTAGGGGTCACAATCTTCCATGGAAGCTCAGACAGAGGTCAAGTAAAGAGGTAAGGAAGCGAGTGTATGTGTGTCCTGAGCCAACCTGTGTTCATCACGATTCTTCGCGAGCATTGGGCGATCTCACGGGGATCAAGAAGCATTTCTGCAGAAAACATGGCGAGAAGAAGTGGAAGTGCGACAAGTGTTCGAAGAAATACGCAGTTCAGTCTGATTGGAAGGCTCACTCGAAGATTTGTGGAACCAAAGAGTATAGATGTGATTGTGGGACTTTATTCTCAAGGTTAATTTTGATCTTTTTTCTCCATTTGTTTGTTACCGTAGTTATGAATTGATATACATATGATTTGGGTTGTTGAAGTGGACTTTGTGTTGATGGTTTACAGGAGGGATAGCTTTATCACACACAGGGCGTTTTGTGATGCATTAGCAGAGGAGGCTGCAAGAGCACAGCCAGTGGTGGCACCTCCAACTGCAGATGAGGACCCTAAACAACAGGCGGTTGCACCACCACCACCACCACCACCACCACCACCACCACAACCGTCAGCACCACCACAGGAAATTCCTCAGTCAACTGCTGTGATATCTTCGGATTTGTCAATTCAAAGCCCAGGTATTGTGATCTAAAATAGGAAATCTTGCTGTTTTGGATTTGGGTTTTGGCGGATGCGTTTTGGTTAAACAATGGAACAAAAGAATCTGTTGTTTCTCTCTCTTAATCTTGGAGTTTAGCTGTTTTTGTCTGTTACTGATCTTTGATGTTTTCTGCATGTACATAAGATTTAACTGATTTGTAATTTGGAGCTAGACTTGGGGACTACAGAATGAAATAAAATTTAACTGATTTGTAATTTGGAGCTAGATTTAGGGACTACAGAATGAAATAAATTTCTCAGATAGGCTTTAAAAACTAAGATTCAACCAAATTAAGACTCAATCTCAAGCAATCTTTTGGTAAAGCAAGAAACCATCAAAAGAGATCCAAAAGCCAAAAGTACACTATTATTGGTCACTCTACTTTTACTTCAAATACAGTCTTTTACTAAGAAAAGCTTAACTTTCTCTGTCTCTGTAGATAAGTAACCCTTTTCTGTTTCTTCTGTTTGCTTCTTGTGGTTGTTCCGACTGTTACAGAATTGCCAGACAATCCCAATCCCAATCCTAATGCTACGCAGATGTTAGAGGGTACACCCGTGGCAACTGGCTTAGCTGTAAGCTGTAGCAATAACAGTAGCTCAAGCAGCCATGGAAGTACCAGTAGCACTGTGTTTGCAAGCTTGTTTGCTTCATCAACAACTTCAGGAAGTTCACAGCTTCAATCAACTGGATTTACTAACTTAATTCGATCCATGGCTCATCCTGACCACACACTGGGCCTGGCTCCATCGTTGTCTATGGAACCCATATCTCTTTGCCTTGCAACAAATCAAGGGTCATCAATTTTTGGGACTGCAGGGCAAGAGCGTCGGCAGTACGCACCTCCACCACAGCCAGCAATGTCTGCAACAGCACTGTTACAGAAGGCCGCACAGATGGGTGCAGGAGCAACAAATGCATCATTGTTGAGGGGGTTTGGAATTGTCTCATCTTCTTCATCTTCTGTAGGGAAGCAAGAGTGGAATGGGAGACAAATTGAGCCGGAGGATGCATCATTGGCAGCAGGGCTTGGCCTTGGGCTGCCCAGTGATGGGGAGTCTGGTTTGAAGGAATTGATGATGGGGACTCCCTCGGTGTTTGGTCCCAAGCATACCCTTGATCTTTTTGGGTTGGGGATGGCTGCTGGTGGTGGTCCAACTGAACTATCGGCACTAATGACCACAATCAGTGGTGGCGTTGATGTTGCTGCAGCTGCAGCATTTGGTGGTGGAGAATTCACCGGCAAAGCCATTGGAAGGAATTCATGACATTAGAGAGCTGTGAAATTCAGACTACCACAGAGCATTAGTTGCTCCAATTGGAAGGGGGGAGATCTATACTGTAGATGCCAGATGGCCATGGGGTATTGAATAATCGGTGGCACAGCAGAAACATTTGGTGAGACAACATTAATACTTCCTAATGCCCTAATGGAGGTAGGCATTGAGACCTTAGGCAGTTGAGCCTTTTTCCTATTTCATCTGCTGCCTTTCATGTTTCTATTTGATGTATTCGTAGCTTAAAGATCCAGAAACCTTTTCTTCTCCAATGCGTAATGTGGGTGTCACTGTATGTGGTATATATGCATTGAATGTGAGATTGGTAAAATTTAGAACCGTTGTTAAAATTAGTTTATGATTTGCTGATATGGATTTGTATACCTGAGTTGTTTCATTTTACCAAGCTCGAGCTTCCGAGTCTATGGGTGTCGATGTTCATATTTGGACTGCATGGATTGTGGATTCTAGTATTATAATTGAGTTGGGTTTATCTTGCAGAATCTAGCAAATTTGGATTTGCATGAATGGTGGTTCTGGTTTACATGGTTTAGGTTTATGCCAATTATCTCAATTGTTGGTACTAGTGGAGTCCTTAACCCAGAAATTTTGAAATACAGTAGTGGAAGGTTGGTGTGGTTTCTAGTCAACCTACCATAAATAGGCGGAGCGGCTGTCTTTCATTGGAGAAATCCTTTTTTTGTTAGATAGCTTTGTTTCTTTATCTGGGTATTAATCAGAACTGAATATTTATTCTGTATGTAGACCATCTAGATGCATGCCAAATACAAATGAAGTTTCAACATGGAGACCCTGCACACCAAATTTTTCATATGCTTTGAACGGGGCTCTTTGTCACGTGCCCACCCATTTGCTGTGAAGTTAGGATGCAACCACTAGGGCACTGGGCACCATGGGATGACCGCGTTTGCGCAAATAAACATCAAATGTAAGCAAAAAACACAAACACAAGTTCTTATTCATCTACATGCATATCAAACCATTGACTAGTACCTTTGAAATCAAAACCATCAACATATTATTTGATTCACATGGAGACACTCTTCAAATCTTCCAGATTTTCTTCAAAATTTTTCTTGCCCCTCCCTCGCGGTTGACCACCCTCTCCTGCTCTTCTTCCCAAGCGTCTGACTCTTCTCCTTCCCTTGGTTCTCTTTCCTTGGCTGCCTCTTCCTCTCTCTGTCTAGCTTCCTCGCCTTCTTCCGTTCTCCTAGCTTCCTTTTCTTCTTCCTCTCTGCTCTGCTCTTCCCTCCTCCTGGCTTCCTCCTCCCTTTTTCGGGCTTCTTTCTCTCCTCCATCCTCCCTCTTTTTGGCTTCTTCCTCCTCTGGCCTCTTCTCTTCTTCCTTCTTTTTGGCTTCCTCCTCTTCTTTTTCTTTCCTTTTCTCTTCCTCTTCCCTTGCTTCCTCCTCCTCTCGCGTCTTCTCTTCTTCCTTCTTTTTGGCTTCCTCTTCTATTTCTTTCTTTTTCTCTTCCTCTTCCCTGGCTTCCTCCTCTTCCCTCTTTCTGGCTTCTTTCTCCTCTTGCCTCTTCTCTTCTTCCTTCTTTTTGGCTTCCTCCTCTTCTATTTCTTTCTTTTTCTCTTCCTCTTCCCTGGCTTGCTCCTCTTCCCTCTTTCTGGCTTCTTCCTCCTCTCGCCTCTTCTCTTCTTCCTTCTTTTTGGCTTCCTCCTCCTCTCGCCTCTTCTCTTCTTCCTTTTCTTTGGCTTCCTCCTCTTCTTTTTCTTTCTTTTTCTCTTCCTCTTTCTTCTTTCTGGCTTCTTCCTCTTCTCGCCTCTTCTCTTCTTCCCTCTTTCTGGCCTCCTCTTCCTCTTTTTCCCTAGCTTCCTCCTTCTTCTTCTGCATTTCTTCCTCCATTATTTTTTCTTCTTCCTCAGCACAAGATCTGCACTCTAGAATGATTGAGTCAGCCTGTGAAGCCAACAGATGATCAATTGTCATATTAGTAACATTAAAGGACGCTGCCAAGATTTTTTTGTCCAAAGTTCGGAGGACTGAGCTTTTTCCAGCAAGGAATTGTGGATGGTTTTTCTTTGTTGTTGTACTGAATCCCATGAAAACCAATGTATCGTTGTTGAAGGTCATTTGAGCCATGGGATGATACCTTGGCACTGCAAATACATCACCTTCTTCCACCCTAAACCTCATGTTTTTGCACTCAGTTTCATTTGCACTGCTTGGACAAACCACCTGAACCATTCCTCGCCCTTGTAGTACTATTGTTATCTCAGTAGCCATTGGATTCCAGTGCGGCCCCATCATTGATCCCTTTGAAAACACCGACAAAACAATAATAAGTTATGACATCTAACAATTTTTAGTACTCTTAAAGACGATCATTCAAAATATTAGTCAATACCGATCCATTTGGAGGACTCAAAGTGGCCCATTGTTTTGAGGCCGTTCTATCATGTAAATCAGAGACTTATTCGGTTTGTGGTGCCTTAAGAGACTTTTCCGATGACTCGAATGATCATCAAAGTTATTGGATTGCAGTGTATAGGCCAATTGTTTGTTTTAGCTACAATATGACCGTAGAAGGCCAGGAGGAAGAAAATAAATTAATAACAACTCACCTGGGTCAAGTTCACCATGAAAATACCAAAATCAGAATGCTTTAATGTATGCAACTGCTTCCTGGTGACTGTCAAGCTCCACCCATTGCAATTTTCAACATCTGGTTTTGCACTCAGAAGGTTGAAAACTCCTTTTTTTTCCTTTTTGTTTTCATCAAAACTGATGTATGCTTTGCTAAGGGCCTTCATGAACTGATTTTCTAGCTCCAAAAGGGTGCTTTTTGATTTTGGCACTCCATGAACGATTGCTGGTGGCGGTTTTCCTTGTGTTATTTGTTCCACCACTTCCTCAGGTACCTTTGAAAACACCAGTTATCATGAGTCACAATAGGTTTGGCCGAGAATCAGAAATCTTGTAACTGATCAAAAATCAAATTCTATGTTTTGGTATGTCTTGGGGATCAGAGTTCCATTGTTTTGGAATCAAAGTCCAAGTTTTTTTTTTTTTGGTCTATTTCACAAAACATGTCCAAAACATTTCCGCTTTAAAATAGACTTAAATTATTCAAAATTTTGATACTTAGCAATCAAAATTCCTCAATTATCCTGCACGATCTGTGGCTTTATCTTTGTATAGGTACTAATGAAAAAAAAAAAAAAAAGGAAATCAAGCCAAGGATTATCAGATTCTGCAGGTTTGTGTAATAGGTAGTTAAGTTGAGCTATTACAACAAGAAACAAATATCAAATGGAAGTTCTGTTAAACCACCAAACTCATCTAAAAGCATAGGGAGCTTAAGTCATCTCATTTGCGGGCAAGATTGTGGGTCAAACATGTGGAATTCCTTTGATAATCAAGTGGCGGAATCTAGCTATGATATGTAAAGTCATTCTACAATACTAAAAAAGCACGTTAAAGTGCCCGACACATAAAAAGATTTAAGGTAACCTTAAAAAATTATAATCTTACCTTAAAAAGTTATAACTCAATTCAAAAGAATTGTACCCACCCCAAAAGCTTTTAACCTCATCCCAAAGGATTGTAATCCATCCTAAAAAGTTACAACACAACCCCCAAACAATTGTAGTGGCACCTTCAAATGATTGTACCACAACCCCAAAAAGTTATAAACATGTCCAAAAAGATTATAACATAACCCCTTAAGTCCTTAACCTTTACCAAAAGGTTGTAATGTCGCTTAAACGCAACCTCCAAAAGAATTGTAATTCATACCAAAAAGTAGTAACACAATCCAAACAAATTGTAACTCCACCTCCAAAAGTGGTTGAAACACAACCTAATAAAGTTGTAACTCACCCAAAAAATTTGTAACATAACCCAAAAATGTTTTAAGACAACCCAAAATGTTTTAACCCCAACATAACCCGAAAAGTTGTAATTGTAATGCCACCACCATCAATCATGTTGCACCATAATCATTCATGCTTAAGTTTTTAGGATCTATCATAGAATAAAAAGATCGATCTTTACAACTCCGTTATCCAATATTACCTATTATTACTTTTTAAAATTACACTAATGTCCGTTTTTTTTCAATTAGTTACATTACCACTCCTTAAATTGGATCATGATCGATCATGCTTAAGTTTTCGCACCCATCGATCTTGATAAACTCTAGCAACATAATTTTTTATTTTTTTCAAAATTACCATAATATCCACTTCTTTCGTTTCATTTACATTTTTGTTACCACTTTTGAGTGCATATTTTTCGATCACGCTTGTTTATTGCGTAATATCACTCCATGGTAAACTCACCCAATCCAACCCCAATGGTTGTAATCCAACCTAGAAATGTTGTGGAAAGTTTTTCTGTCCATTTTTCAGATTTAGTTCGTTCCCTTTCTAAAATAAGTTTATGAGATAAATAATTTTTATTATCATGTTCAAATACTACGTATCCGTTTGGTTGTAATCCAACCCAAAAAATTCCGTGGGCAATTTTTCTATAACATTTTCATTTTTGAGATCTATTTTCATCTACTTTTTAATATAAAATTATGAGATAAACATTTTGTTTATTATGTTCAAATAAATATACCGATTTCACCTATCATTAAGTTTTTTATATTTTTTTAGAGATAATTGACAAGTAAAAAGATTCTTTATTTTTCAGTATGATACTGACAAGGAAGTGGTTGCTACCGAAGCGTAATCCTTATATATAAAACACCTTGTGCTTATTAGCTAGAGAGGGAGGGAAGACATGTAACTTCGAAGTATTTTTATAAACTCCAACAAGTTGAAGTTAGAAATTACTCCATACTCGAAATGCAGATCGGAGAAGTTTCTTATCAAATCCAAGTACCAGTTCTTGAATGCTCGAGTACGCACCGACGGAAGTTACCTGCATAATTTTCATATTATAGGCAGTCAATTTCGAATAACGTAGGAAGAGAAGTTAAAAAACATGAGTGATGCCCAAGAAAAGCTGTCATACGCGGAAGTCATCAAGTGAATTGGCAAAAAGGGCATAGATCCTAAGCTTGTGTCTTTCGGGGTCTAAGTTGTTCTGTACGAAGAAAATGGTCCCTGGTTGGAGTATGTAGACATCTCCTCGGTCTAAATATATCTCTCTAGTTTTATCATCATCTATCCAACTCAATCTCCCACTCCCTGCACTCACATAAATCAAATCAAGTACACACGTTAAATTGTTAGGTAATATACACCCACACACACCAACACAAAACATGGGTACTTGTATTTAGACATAGCTTAATGATTGGAACCTGTGTGGACATACAAGACCATTTCTGCATGAAGAAAAACGGGAAGGAACAGGGCGTTTGGCTCCAATGTAATGAACTGAAGATAATAAGATCCATTTACTCTGTCACTGACCCTGGCGGCTGAGATTTCTCCATACTCAGTTGAAAGCAACGACCTCCTTTGATCTTTCTTCACCAGAGGTCCCTTACCATAAACATCTTC